GAGAGAGAGAGAAAAAAAATCGCGCGCTTTACAGCTGCAGAACAAAATTACTCGAATTCAAATTTTTCTGTGTAGGATCGTTAAAAAACCGAAACTTGCGCTAAAAAGGGTAGTTGATGTTATAAGTTTTAGAACTAGCTTTGTCTACCTTGAGCGAAGTTTGTGGTGGTTGAAGTTTTCCATTAAATGTTATGATTGAATACCAGAAAAATCTCTGTCGTTTATGTATCACTCGCCCATGAATATTCACTTTTCATAGATGAGCTCAATAAAAACGAAATTGCTAATGTAGAAAGAGCAAGTTGTAAAACTCATGGTACCAGCAGCTCCTTTTTGGGGCAATTGATTTTTGCTACGCTGCACAGAAAAAATCGAATTCCGAGTGATACTCTTCTATAGCTTACATCCCCACAGCATGCGTGGTAAAAGGCAATTTAGAAGCTTCGTGAAGAGCATGATTTACTATTTTTAAAACAATGAACTATGTCCAAACCCTTCGGAAAGAAAAGAAATTATGAATTTTTGAAAATGGTGCGAACAAACTTTCGGGACAATTCAAATATGCAGACGGACATATGAAAGTAGTTGGAGGATACTTCGATCCTAACGAAGAGCATTATCATATGCTATAGTAGGTACTAATAGTTCATCCGTTCATAGTAAAGCTGCGTTTTTATCAGGTATCGCGTTTGAAATCGAACCAGCTTTATAAGGCTGTCGAGCTTGTTTTTTGATATACATTTCTAGGTTGTGAAATTATGTGATTTTGGACTGATGAGGAATTTGAAGGAAAATGAAAGGACTTACACGATGCAAGGGCAGAAGCGTGTGCCGTTTTCTTGGTGAGTCATTTCCTCCACACTAGTTCATTGCTCGTGAATTCCGTTCTTTTTTCTTCGGTATGACTTCATCTTTTGTCGTATGCATGCACACTTCTCTTGGATCTGAAGATGTTTAGGTGTCCGCCAGAGTCGTTGCGGCATCGACAATTTTCTCACGCTTCTGATGTTTGGGCTTTCGGTGTCACGGCCTGGGAAATATTCAGTTATGGGGAAGATCCTTGGATTGGTTGTAGGGCTATAGATGTGCGTTTTTAGTCCTAAGGAACTATTCGCTTTTCTCGGAAACGATATTTTGATTTGTTCTCGCGAGCAACCATTGTTTTTATTTTTTTATTTCCGGGACTTTATGTTTACTATATTTGTTTTGAAATTCAGCAGTATGTTGTATTCTTTTACGAGTATACCTAAGCTCTGAGCATCAAGCAATCGTGCTTCAGGTACTTCAGCGGCTTGACGCAGGAGAACGTTTGGAGAAGCCAAAATATTGCTCCCAACAGATATATGACTTGATTAGTCTATGTTGGAACATCAATCCGGATCTCCGTCCAAAGTTTAGCCTTTTGAGGACTCATCTTCTCGGCGTGGGTTTGACGTTTCCTATAACCCTTACAGTCGCTGTCACGCACTTTATTTTGTTTGCATCCGTTACCATGTTCCTTTTTTTTTGCGTTATTCATTTTTTCAGAAAAATTTGGGCTTGTTTTTTGCATCATGGAGAGAAGAGATTTACTTTATTGCTCTTTTCAAATAGCTTTAAGGCGGGTGTAGTTGTCAAAATCGTGTTTTGGTGTGGTTGATATGCTACAGCAATGCCAAGTTGTACTAGGGTTAGAGAATGTCTCAGGAAGGGATCAGATTGCTTGGATGCTGCTATGTCGCATTCCTTTCAATCTGTGTTGCTTGGAGTATGTCACCTGTGGCACTTTTACACTTTGAACATGCATTCTCAAGCGTTAGCTTTTCTGAGTGTGTTCATGGAACGAAAGAGTTATTGCATCAGTCTTATTCTTTTCATAGTGATTTTCAAAAATTTATGATGTCCATCATCTTCCTTCAAACAAAAATCACTTATAGGTCGAGTTCAATATCGCAGAGGTTCGTGATGCGTCAAATCCAGATCCTAGTGGCGAAATGCTGGAAATGATGGCGCGAGATCGTGTCATCGTCATTGAAAGCAGGTACTAGATTACCCGTATCAGACTGGAACATCCTGGGATTCTTGTTTCAGTGGCTTTTTGTGGTACGGCCAGAATGAGAGGACACATTTGTTTGGTAAATTCACCCGTTCTTCTGTGTTTGTCAACAGTAAAACGGTGTCATCTAATCCACATCGAGACACTAGCGCAATCGGTGGTAACAGTAGAATCTCGCTTCCCATTCGGGGTAAGTCATTTCTTACGTTTTATTTATTTACTTTTTTACTGTTTGTCGTGCTTATGATTACGGTTTGGCTTTGAAACCATCCTTTATCTTACTGAAATTCGCCGCCTTTGAGATCAGATTCGCTTCTCATCCATGGATTCACGACACAAATTGACGCTGCCCTGCAGTCTCTCCATTGTTTTTACTACCAGTGGGCTTATCGCAGCTAGCGCTTCACTGATTCAGTTGTTTGTCTCGCGGAATTGAGAATCGTGACGCTTTCTAGACACAGGCAAAGAAGAAGCAAATTAGGCCTCAATGTTTTTCCAGTTATTTTTCTATCATGAATGATGGTTAGGAATTTTTTCACACATTCTCATCTGGCATTTGAAAACAAAAATCAAAATATTTTACGAGAGGTCGCCTACTTGGGGCTTAAATAACCAGAGAGAATCATGAGCTAAAACCTGCGTAGCATAGTTTGGCTAAGGTTCTTGTAGCCTAATGCTTTTTATGGTCTTTACGACAACGAACAGCTTGGATGTCATACATCCTTCATCCCTTCTTGTGTCAAATCGTCAGAGAAAAAACATCGTATTTGAAAGCACTGTTGTAAATTCGCTTTGGCTTAGTGTTACAGATACTGCAAAAACTTTGAATTGTTACAGGTTCATTTATTCATGCTGGGCATGGTGACGTGTTAGGCAACTCCTCTTGGGGCACACCTGAAAAAATTGATGATGTCTACTTGAAAAATCCAATTATCGGAGATCCGCTAAACCTGTGAGTTAGTAGAGTTGTTACTTACAAACGGTTTTTTTCCGTCTCACACGGCCATTTTGAACGCATGAATGTAAAGATCTCTGATATAACCTGGCTTTTTCATCACACTTTAGTAAGGACGGACGCTGAGATGGAAGAACTTAGAGGTTTGATTATGTAACATAAATTTTAATTTTACGGGTTTTCTTGATCTCTACAAAAGACTGGATACATGCAATCATACGTTTCTTACTTTTTGACATTTACTGTTTTCAGCACTATGATGCCGTTGTCGGTTCCATCCGTAACGAATGTCAGTGGTACTAGCGAGACAGTCTTCGCTGGTGAGTTTTCAGTTATACCTTCGCTAATGAGTTTTCAATACAGAACTCCTTCCCATGTGGTTGTTTGCTGCGGAGACCCAATATGAACTGTGGCTGTAAAAGAGGAAAATTGCATTTTGACTACCAATGTTTTACATCTTACAGATCTTTTGTACTTTTTTTAATCTACATGCGCCATAGTCTCGCTGAACCCGAGAGTGTATGTCCCGGCAAAACTTCGTTTCCAGTGCAGTACATTAATGCCTTTTCGCCCCCTTTCGCCATCAAAAGATTAACTTGTGGAAAATGCTGTAATAACGAGGAAATCGCATAGATTATGTTCAATGTATACAGTCACTGAGCGCGGGAGGGCTGGTTTGCATATTGTCGGCGGACATTTTGCTTATGCACTTCACTTTCCAAGCCCTGTTAGTGGGAGTTTTGTTTAGATACCTCTCATTTCCACCTTGATATCCATTCTAGGTATGCCGTCAACATCGAAAGCTCAAGTAAAACCGGATTATGAGGATCCATTCGATATAGCAGCTTTTGATGAGAATTTTACTCCCACCCGAATCAAGCTGCCTGAAGTTTTCACTACTGGTCAGTTCACTGCTTCTTCCTCACAAGCAAGCATGTTCCGTTGGTTCAGGACGCATAAGCCCGTCTACCAACATCAGCATTGAACGGCCACGACCATCCTCTTCACGCCCGGCGATACCTTCAACTTCTTTTCCACTTCCTTCACATAATGGTAACTTGGTGAAAGTTTTATGACTGTCTGAAAAACTCCTTGTAGGTTGGGAGCAGCCTGTGCAGGTGGATCGAGCTTTGTTCTCCATATCTCCGAATTTGACAGTGCAGGTGAATTTCGAGAATATTTGTCTGGACATACTCCTGCCTGAACGAGTTGATCTTTTTATACAATGCTATTTCCCAGGCACCTATCACTCCAAAACCTACAAATGGCACCAATATGATAGCAACTCAGCCGAAAGATCCAAAACCTACAAATGGCACTAATATGATAGCAACTCAGCCGAAAGAATCAGGTGCTTTGACATTTTCTGCTTACAGTCGACTTTTTCAATTATTGGGTCGGTGAAATTTCGTTTTGATGCTTCTCTCCCATTCTATTTTACATAATTATGACTTGGTTTCTCAAGAACAGTGCTACTTTGTCACAAACTCTGGATCATGTAGCTTCAGAAACATGGCTCAATAGTTGCTGTGTACTAGCACAAATTTGCGTCAGACCAAGTTGTTCTTAGGCGTTGTGAAACTGCCGATGCCCAAACAGTCAGTAACGCAACAGCCAATTCTCGGTTCAGATGCGAGTGTGGCGCGGAACGATCCATTCGAGGTTAGTAATTGTTAGAGATGCTAAAAAATTCGAACATTCGCCTCCCATAAAAAGCTCAGTCTTGATTTGGTGGGGATGAGAATAAATTGATCGATTGT